TGACTGAATATCTTTGATGTTTGAGTGCACTGAATTTGGCACAAAATGTGATAAAAGGCAGGCAACATTCATAATAATATGTGCATTGTGGTTATAGTGTGCATAAATTTATGCAAGCAGGTCTTTAAAGTCAGCGGAGGTCTAGTTCCATTGTTAAATTATAAACAAGTACAAGGCTGGCTTATAATTTGGCAATATACAGTATGTGGGGAAATGTAGTAATTTTTTAAAAAAGGAGTGAGGTTCCCCTATATATTCCAACCAGACCTTTAACCAGGAATGTGGCCTGGGTGGCCAGGAAAGGGAAGGCAGCAAGCTTGCAGCCCCCCTTCCTACACCATACCAGGCCACATGCCCTCCAACATTATGGTAGTGTACCCTGCAGGGGGGGGGGGCTTTGCTAACTACCTCTTCTACCAATATTGAGGGACAAAAGCCTTTTTCCCACCTCTGTGCACCCAAAAAAGGACATGAAAGTAATAATAGACGTATGATTAAATCTGGAAGCCCTCTGTATGATAAGGGTGTGACCAGATATCTGCTCCCTCCCAGGGGAATGAGTACAGAGGTACATTAGTGCCCCTTGCCTATTCCCACAAAGAGATAAAAGTAAGAAAAACACCAACACTGAATTAAAACTTTATTAAAATAAAACACATACTGTTCTTAACAGCTTTTAAAATAAAGTTTATTAACATCTCTAGAAGTAAATCCAGCATCAATCACAGCATCCAGCATGGTAATCCATGTAATTCATGGACATCTAGTGAGGTAATCCATGTCAATCACGATTGATCCATCGCTCGCCTATTTGTACACTGTACTCCCACTCTAAGTTACAGATTCCTGGCTGTGCTAATTTAAACTTACCACTGGGAATCCCTGTGATGTAATTGATAAAATTTGGCCAACAATGTCAACTAGGATTCACAGTATATTACTCCAACCAGGAATTTATCATTTAGCAGAGGGAGTGTGGCGTGTTCAGCCCATTCGACAGTCGCTATTGATTTTGATTGTGTTCAGATTTGTTTTTCTGACAACTTTGAGTAAAAAAAGGACTGATTATCATACAGAGTTGGACTTCTGGTTTATTCCTCTCTCATACAAGAACAAATCCTATACTCCAATCTATCACTATTAAGGTCATTATCAAAGGAAACATTGCATAGGTAGCAAATAAATTGAGTACAAAAAGACGATGTCCAATGTCCAAAATAACTTTGTATTTACAACTTCAGCATACAGTTGATAAAAACCACATGACTTGTTTTAGACATAAACATTCTTAGTCATAGCTAAACTCTGGCAGATTATTATTGCTGTCTACCTGTCTGATGTCTAAAGCACTGCACAAACTGTTGGTGCTATATAAATCCTGTATAATAATAAATAATCCTACTAAGGATATTCAAGTACACCTCATATGTGATTCCTATGTGGTTTCTGACACAGGCATTCAGGGAAAATAGGGACACAGACAACCATAACATGATATTTTCATTTATTTGAGAAGGAACAGATCTTTTTATTGCGGTGTCCCTGCCAAGAAGATTTCCCCTCACTGACTGTGTAGTCACTGGGGCAAGAAGTGTGGAAATCTTCCCAATGGAGACCAATGTAGGTTCTAATGCTTTTAAAAAAAAAATATTTTGTCTGGAGTTTCAATTGAGGCTAGGTTCACACCTAGGTGACACCTCACCGTGTGGCATTCGTGCACGATTCCGCATGGATTGCCGCACGGTCAGAAGTCGTCAAGGTGTGAACCGTTCGCGCTTTGGGTGTCATTATTTTCTAATGACACCCCAGTCGCGCCGGGTGGATTGCACGGTCTCCCACCGCGATTCCGCCTGTGCTTCCGAAACAGCAGGCGCGTTGTGTATCGCAAAAAAGGGTACTTGTACCTTTTTTCTGCAATTGTTGTGCGGATGTCCCCCCATTTAAATCAATGGGGGCTTGCGGCAATCGCTGCCTGCATTGTGCAGGACTGCGCAATCCCGGGATGCGCGTCCCGGGTGTCGTGCCATGTAGTGCAGGTGTGAACCTAGCCTTAAGGTCACAACTTTACAGTACAAATGTGATTTCCCTGTAGTAATTATCAAATAACCATATTACAAAACAAAACAATTAAAGAAAAAGCCCCAATTTATACGATGAAAGTTTACAATAAGGAGTAACAAATTTTGAATATAAAAGCATCAAAAACAATACCATATTTGTCAGGTCGCATTATTTGATCTAATAGGTCCTTGCAAGACCAAAACAAAGTGGGGTTAAATAAATAAAAGAGCAGAGGTTGTTCAGTAATTTTTTTCCGAGCTTAATAAATACATGTGCTAGCTTTCAAAAATGAATCATGTGCAAATACATTTTATAATAAAATGTATTTGCTTCACGTGTTTAGAATGATTGAAGTCAACACAATTTCATTAATTCACTGAGCCTCTACTCCTTTAGTAAATAAGCCATGTACCAATACTATAAAAGACAGAAAAGTTCACCCTCACTTTCAAAACGAATTACCTTATAAAACTGCACCTACCCACACTTCAGAAACATTCAGACACACAACAATAACATTGCTTTACTTGCCCAACACAAAATACTGGTTGATATAGCCATGCATATATATATCTATATATATATCTATATATCTATATAGATATATAGATATATATAGTGCAATATAAATGGGTAAGCCGTATTAGTCCAGTAGACAAGATGTCAAAAAAGACAAAAACGAAGTATTGCAGTGTGCAATGATACCTTTCTTATTGGACTAACAAAATATATAAAAGACAAGCTTTCGAGAGTGAACCTCTCTTCTTCGGGTCAGAAGCAATATATATATATATAAAGAAGGATTTATGATGAACACCCTTTTTACCTCCATTCCGTGCTCACCATTACAGGCACTCAAGAGCTAAGACAGCTACCAATTTAGATCAGAATTCTGCCTCCTATACACATATCCTCCTTACATATATTATCTCACTATTAGATCCATTGTACTATGATGCTAAGGAAAATTTCTTAAAAAATAGCTACAATGATAAACATTAAACTGTTATTTTAGATGTTAAGGTCTTGATCACACTTATGTTGTGGTAGCACACTGTGCAAGCATTAGTGCACCCTAACGCATGTCCAGAATTCACTTGCATTGCAATGCACCACATAGCATGGTGTGCCTTGCATTGCACTGCATAAAATGTAGGACCTACATTTTCATGCATTGGGGTGCATTACAGCGCATTCATTTTGAAGGGTCTGACTAATGCAGCACGCAGCAACACGCCTCAATGCACAAAAACACATGTTGTGAGATGCAAAGTGTTTAGGTGTCTATGGTCCATAGGTGTTGAGGTACAGAAAGATTCAGAAAGAAAAAAAAAACTGATGTCAGCACACAACATTCAGTAATAGTTGTGTTGTATTTACAGGTATTTATTTCCTTCATTCCACTGGATGTGGGGGAAGTGGGCAGTAAGAGGAAAAAAACACATTCCTGGCAGTTTTGTGGCAGTTCATTTTCTTTTCTCTGGATTTTTTCACCTGGTGATGCAAGTACCAAACTACAGTCCTAGCGTTACTACACTACCTCACTGTACTGTATCTATGCAGCAGCAGTGTTGTTACCCTAGGACAGGACTACAGAACACTATAGCATGAAGTAAGAGAAGTCCTCCACCAAGCGAGGGGATATACCCTCTCAGAGTGCTGCTATCAGGGCTGGCTTACTCGTTGGACAATTCCCCCTCACCTCCCATTCTGATGATACCTCAAAAAGGTTGTTTTTCCTATCACTTTCTGTACTGGAAATAAAGATCCTCTGGAGCAGTAATGAGGGTGAATCATCCAGAATCCATTTAATACAACAACAAAAATAGGTTTTTCCTTTTAACGCTTTTTTTACATACTCTGAAAGAACCTAGATAACCTTTCCTTGGTGAATGAAGACCCCATTACAATGTGTATGAAAACAGTTCAGTTTTTTCTTCAACTTTTAGTGAGCTTCAAACAAATTTAAAATTCCAAGCAAGCTTTTTAAGGATACCTGCAGATCCACTATATCACCAATCTATTTTTTTCACCATTTAAAGACAACTTTCTTATTGGCGCCTCTCAAAAAGGTATACTATCTAACAGTTCTGAAAATCCTAAATACTTTTCTATCAGAATCACTCCCTCAACACTTGTATTTGATATAGTGGGATATTATAGTAGTGGAAGAGCTTGCAGCTAATATGGCCCCAGGCATGTATTAATTCTTTCTCCACTTTATACAAAGAGAACCATTGGTATCAGGCTCACACAGTTCTGTACAGCCCAGAAATGTCAAGTAGATGCTGGAGAGACTAAAATAACAACTTTCCTGAACTTGGGAGTGTTCACAAATGGTCATGCACTTAAATGATTTCTAGATACACAGGGTAAACCTCAAACAGTCCAACAAAGTGCCTTGTGCAATGGTCACCAGCCCAGTGTCATCAATGGTGCTCAAAATCAGTTATTTTAAAGAGGTGTCATGCACCAAGGTCTCTGTACAGCTCTTATATTTTTTCAGTTATAAAGCAGCTGCCTAATAAACAGTGATTGGTGCCATTTTCTGATTGGTTGCTGGGTCTGTTTAACAGTTAGGCTGGGTTGGTTGTAAACTCCATCGTCACTTCTAGTATGTGATGCATATGTGTATTTGATATGTGTTTTTAATGCTGCTGCTTAATCATTTAAAAATGAAATAGCTATTTTTGCACAAGTGATACTTGAAGTCCTTGGTGAAGGACACACTTTTTGGAAATAACAGAAATACTTACTAAATACTATATAAGTTTGCCGAAATAAACCCAGTAAGTCAAATGTTGAGACCGTTCTGTCAAGACATTTCTGAGACAATACAGCATTCTTGTAATTGTCTTATGCTGTTTTTCCATTACATTCACTCTTATTTATATCTAGTATGGAAATTCAAGAAAATATTCATAAAAATGACAACTTACCCTGGAAAGGTCCCCAGCTTCCAAATAGAAACAGATAATAAATACATTCCAAGCTATCCACACCATGACCCAGACAGCATACTGCAGAAATAAAAAAGTACATGTAGGTCAAATGTGATTAAGTTGCTACAGATACAATCTTTACATTACATTGTCAGTATGTCTGTTATGTACATGTTTGATCCAGGTCTGTGACTTTTCAGCAGTGAAGGTAGGTTAAGAAAGACAACACTGGAGGATGCACCTTTCATAGAAATTCTGATGACAGATTACAACTGCCTAAACTGAAATAAAGTGTATTGTAAATTAAAGTGGAACTCTGGCTAAAAATCCCTGAACATACACTGCATCCCCCTCCTTTAAGCCTCCCTAGATATTTTATTAACAAAAACATCCTATAAATACCTATTTCACTGCAAAATAGTAGCCATTCTGGTGACATCACAGGTTATTCTTCTGCTTCCTTGACAGTGGCAGGGGGTGGCACTACCACCTGGACTAAGTGGCACTTATGTAATGACATGTGAGTGCTACTAAGTCCTGGAGTGCTACGACCCCAGCTTGCATGATGACCTACCCCCTGGGGTGTGTAAATGACAGACTAAGCTCATAGGAAAATAGTAGAATAATAGTAGATGTTGTTCATCCGCAAGAGCAATGGCGGTGCTGGATGGAGGAAGAAGGTGGGGCATCCATAAAGTATTGGGAGGGTAAGTAGAACATGGGCACTTTTTTTTATTTTGGGAGGGGGATGGGAAACCAATAAATTAAATAACTGCCAACAAGGGCTAGAAGGAGAATTAAAAACTAACATTTAGCCAAAATCTTAGGAATCTTCGATCGTCAATGTTATATACAAGAGTAAAGCAAACAAGAAAATAAAAAAAATTGATAAATTGAGTAGCTGCTACTTTGTAATGATTATGTCATAAGCACAGCCATGATCACTAAAAACCTTGTACAGGGTCACTGTAGCAAACAAAATCCATAGGAAATGAATAATAGCGTACCCAGCTAGGCGTTGCCATGGATGTAGAAAATAAATATTGCAGCTAACAAAAACCTACAAAAAAGTAAAATCAACTAATTAATTTAATGTATTTTTATTTTTTTTAAATTGCATGGCTTATTTATTAAGTGAAAGTGCAGGTATTTTTTTTGTGTAAGTTAACCAGCTGTAGTGGGAATGAGGCAAAAACCATTGTTCTTAGTGTAATTTTTCTCCCTGTTGAATGTTCTTCAATACGTTCATTTAAACAAAATAGGGGTCTATTCACAAAGCTGCCGAAGGATCTTGCCGTAGTTTCGTACTCAAGCCGATGTACGGCTGATTTCAGCCGATATACGGCTGAAATCAGCCGTGCCAGCCTGAAGTGAATAGCCGAACAGTGTTCGGCTCACTTCACTTCTGATCAGTCATTCACTCGGCTGCCCTCGGCAGCTTAGTGAATAAACCCCATAGAGTGAATGAGGAAACTACCACATTATGGCCACTAGAGGGAGCTGAGGATCATAGGAAATAATACATGATAGTAACTGGATACAATTCAATGAGCATTCAAATGTAACCATTGCCACCCCTATAGTATCAATGATTATATTTATATGCTCATTCTCACCAGTGGTCTCTTAAATTGTAACATTGTATCTTCTTACTGTATTTATTTCCTATGATTCCCAACTCCATCTATTGGCCATAATGCAGTATCATCCTCATTCACTCTGTTCTATAGGAATATACCTATTTCTAAATAATAGCATTGGACCAGAAGAGAAATCACACAAAGTATATTCATTTTTGCCCCATTCTTGAATAGGTGGTTATCTCACACAGAACAAATGTACATGCAGTTTTGCTGGACAAAAAAGCTATGCACATTTTTATGGACCCGTTCACACCACGGAGTTGCGATAAATGCAGTACCATACCGTGTGGTACTGTGCACTAGTTGTGTTACATTGCCATTCATACTAATGGTACCTCAAAGCACCTCCCAGTGGCCGTGCAATGCAGTGCAACATGTAGTACGGTAATTGTGTTGCAGTTTAAAAAGTAGGACATGCACTACTTTTTTTCATGACTGTGTATGGTATTTCCTTACCGCGCTGCACTACAATGCACAGGCCCCTGGAGGTGCAATGGGTTGTCATTCAAATAAATGGAAATGCAATGCATCTAGCACACTGTACCACATGCTAGGTGTGCTGTGCAATAGAATGCCTTAAACACATGGTATTGTGCATTTAACATAACACTACAGTGTTAACAGGCCCTTATTGTTAATCATGGATGTGTGTAGTGCTAACATTTGCTGTTTTAAAAAAATATACAATGTAGATGAGTATAATAATATGTGTAATAAAAAAGGATTCATGCATTTCATCCAATTGATTTTAAAAGAGCTACAGTCTAGTGATTTGACAGCGCAGGACATACAGGTCAGTTAACATCAGCATTATAAAGCTGTGCTCAAGTTGTCATTTAACAGAAACACAATGTATCTGAAATGGCTTCTAATTTGAAAACGTTTAAACTAAAAACACAATCATGAAGGGCATGTTACAGCACTTTTTGGCCATATTCAGTGCCACATTATACTGTGTAATGTGCAAAATTAAACTGAAACAAGAAAGAAAGTGAAAAATACTGTGGCAACCTCTGACAGCTCTGTAAAATATAATTGGTTTTTGCATTATAGCTGTTATGTTCTATTGTTATTAAACAGCAATTCCAAGCAACAAGTGAAACCAAGAAAGAGCTTTCAATATAATCCAACAAACACTGCTAAAATGTTCCATAATTTAACCCTCAACTGATTAGGTGATCGTTGCAGCTAATGTCATGTGCATTGTCATGCAGGATCAATGAGAATGCATTTATAAAGCTGGTGGGCTGTGCAGGGTCTCAGATGGACTGTGCAGGGTCTTTGCGGGCTGTGTGGGGTTTCAGGTGGGCTGTGCAAAGTCTTAGGTGGGCTGTGCCAGGTCTCAGGTGGGCTGGGCGGGTTCTCAGGTGGACTGTGCGGGATCTCAGGAGGGCTGTGCGAGGTCTCAGTAGGGCTGTGCGGGGTCTCAGGAGTGCCGTGTGGGATTTCAGGTAGGCTGTACGGGGTCTCAGGAGGGTTGTGCAGGGTCCCAGGTGGGCTGTGCGGTGTCTCAGGAGGACTGTGCAGGGTCTCCGGTGGACTGAGCGGTATCATGGGAGGGCTGTGCAGGGTCTCAGGTGGTCTATGTGGGGTCTCACCAGGGGTCCGGAGGGAAGAGATGTGTGGCCGGCACTGTAAACAGGCACCATGGTTCACATGAAGGCTGCAAAGGTCCCCAGCAAGCACAAAACCTAAGGCAGCCACTTTAGTAATAAAATTGAAAACATTGGTGTTGACATTTAGTATCAGGGCATTTTCATGAGTGCAGGTACTGAGTACTGATACCGATACCGTTATTGGTGCATCCCCAGTCGGTTGCTCACCCTGCCGGCGGCACCCCTCCAAATGCGGTACCTGGGGCATATGCTCCCCGTGAGAAAATTATTTGTTTTGACAGGTTTTAAATCATGTTTTCTGTATGTTTGATAGACATGAGCCTACAGTTGATGTGTTTAGAAATCAATTTCATGCACTACTAGTGGAGATTCTCTGATCTTTTTGACAAAGTGGATGGAGTGGTCTGGTGCACTACAGCAATGCATGGATAATGGTGAGTCTCTGCATTTTAAAATGAACCCTAAACTAAAGCTTTGCTATGGTATAAAAAATGTTAATTGTGTCTAAGGAGTACCCTGAAAAATGTAGCTGTTATCTGGAATTCCTCCTGAAAGCAGCGGGCCTCCTGATATGTGAAGATGCCTAGGTATTCATGTGCCTACAGCTTCGTAGCTGTATATCTTCAGTACTACATCTAAGGCACTGCTGCCTCTGATTGCTAGTCTCAGGAGATTTGGTATGTGATTTGGTGATGCCAGTACTGTGCACCTCACTGTTGTCCTAGCTGGAAGCTCTGTCAAGAGAAAGAAAAGTCCTGCCTATAAAAAGATGGTCACCTCCACACAGAGACACTGTGCAGAACAAGGCATGGTAGGTTAGCAATGGAGAAAAGATCAGCTGCAGGGAGCCCACAGGCAGTACTGATGACTAGTCGATTGCCCTCTTCCTGCCTTTTTTGGTCAACGCTTTCAGAATTTCTATTTAATGCTTATATTTGTCACTCCTTCTTACATTTTGCTTATTTAATGTCTTAGTTTGCAACAAGTAAAACAAAAAATTACCCAAAACCTTTATATTGTCCCTTTAATCTATATTGGTAATGAACCATGTAATCAGTATATACATCTCTGGTTGATAATCACACTGAACATACTGAAAGGTTAATGTTATCAGAGAGACTGCCATGTTAGAACTGCTTTTCCTTTAATTTTGCAATACATATTAGAATCTGATTGCACATTTGCATATGTAATGTGGCTGTGTAACCTATTGGATAAAAAATGAATAGAATTAATAGGTAGGCACTCAGTGGATTTCAAAATCAAATTGAAATATTATGGTCTAAAACGTTGCAGACCTATTCTCCCTGCAAAACTGCAGGTATGTTTGTTCTGTGAAAATGGAGGCAAAAATAAATGTTATTAGTATATTTTATTTTCAGGTCAAATGTATTATAAGGAAAATAACACATAATCGTCACTAGACACTCTAGTTGTCATAATGCAGTATTTTCCTGATATAACATTCGACCTGGAAAGAAAATATACTAGCAACATTAATTTTGTCTCCATTTGCCTCCATAGTAAAAAATATTGCAGAGAATGTGAACTTCCCTCATAATGGTTGGTGCAGATGGGTGGAGTGGAGAATACCAACACAAAGATTTTGCACCTTCTGTCCTTAAGAGACATATTGGTCTCATAGTTGAATAAACCGCTACCACCAACTGAAATATTAATTTGGTATAACTGATCTTAGTACTTAGCTCAAACCTGTATGTAGTAAAGCTGGTTTATAATTATTCCTATGAACTTCATATTAGCATATGAGTGGGTAGACTCTGCCCTCTTTCTACCCCCATAAGACTAGATATCAATA